TTAGATAATAGATAATAATTATAAGCCAATGTTTTCGTGCTAATGTGGCCCACAGTTAATTTTAATTTAATTAATAAGATCATACACCTTTGGATATCTTATGATTGGTGATTTAAAAGTGTATTTGGCAATAGGTATATCTATAACACTTTATGGGGCCGTACTGGCCAAGTTTATTTACAACTACAGTAAGTTGCATTAAAATAATAAATTATTAGGTTAACTTTCCAGGATAAGGTCATGAGTATGCCGGGTACAAATTTAGAGACCGGAACGGGACGGGATCCCGCGCGAGATTTTGCGAGATACCTCTCCCGCAATACCGCACTTTTTTCGATTTGCGGGAGTACGGGATTTTGCTGATTATTCTTGCAGACGTTCTTAAAAGTTGCTCCCCGCATGCGGTATCCCGCAAAATATTTTTATTTTGCGGGATGTTTAGAAACGGAGGAAGTTGGTTCCTTGGCCTACTAAGCTTGAAAAAATTTTATTGAAATACATAAGACCTACGGTATCTTGTGGGTGTACATTGTCCTTTCCACATATAGTACAACTTTTTAGTAATAACATGTAAAACCAGGAATAAACTAGGTGGTTTTATAATTTCTTAACACACTATAATATTTTCACCCATATACTTAACTATTAAGTAATTTATTAGATATTTTTAAAATATAAAATAAAAAATTTAAGAAACAAATCAAGTTGATACAGTTGACGAAAGCCATAAAGATCGTATAAGAATATTAATTGTCTGTTTGATTAGCATACTTCCATGCCCATTCTATATTGTATATTATACGATTGCTTCCAAACTCATTTTTACCGAAACATATAGTGTAACTCTTATGTATTTTGTACAGTATGCAAGTAGAACTTTAATGAACTGCATTGAAGAAATTTGCTTGGTTGTTATCTCAAAAGATTTTCGTAAAGTAATCAAGAGCCAATTTATTAAAACTACACAAACTCATGCTGTTGCTACAACAGTCTATGTCTCACAAGCTTCACAACGACAAGGAATCCGTCAATTTAATGTAAAACGGGATAATCTTGTTCGTAATAATTGAAAGGGACTTTCTTCCTCGATTTTACTGATTTCTCTGTGGCATATTCAATGAGAGGTCCATAAAGAAAAGATTATTTTTAAATATAAATTACCATTTTTTAAATATACAAAGATATTTGATTTTCTTTTTTCACGCATGAATCTACATATTCCGTCCCGGATGAATTTTTAAAAAATATATAGTACACGTAAATCTAAATAAAATTGTATTAAAATGGTAACTTCAAGTATTTATAAAGAAATTTTAATCATTTATCACGACTAATCTTAACAAATCATAAGAAACAGAGACGGACGAAAATATAATTTCGCTCTCAATGAAACGAAATCGAAGATTTCGTTTATTTATTTATTTTATTATCCCTGGTGTAGATGTCAAAATGTATCAAATATTTGATCAAATTCAAATATTAGCCTGCAAATCATCTAATATCCCTTCAAATCCACTGATTCCTCCGAGATATCAGACAACTTGTAGGGATTAGGAGTGATTGTGTGATCTTGAGGGGTACGCCGAAATCGATCAAACCTCCGGTATCAATTCAGATCACCTTAATCCCTCAAATCCTCCTATATTCCATTTAATCTTTCTTAATATTAATAAACTATTAAAACTTTAAGCATATAAATTTTACATATGTAGGTTTCGGAATGAATATTTTAAATTTTACACACCTCAGCGAAAAATTTTTTCGTTTTTTTCACCACCTCGATACCCATTTTCATCAGCTTTTATCCATTAAAACCTCTTAATCATTGCAAATCCGTTTTAAACCACCCCTATATTCTTTGAAATAAATCCAATGATATGCATGATATCCCGGCCACCGATATCAACCTTAGTCGTTTTTTCAAATGGTGCACTGAAGAATGCTATTGCCTCAAAATTGAAAAAAATTTTCGAATTTTAAATAAACAATTGAAAATCATTAATCTACCGATTTTGCGTCGCCGGCGAAAATTTTAAGAATTTTGGCTTAAAATACGACAGAAAAACAAAAAAACGTCTAAAATATAACATTTTTTCGTGATTTTCGTCCGAAAATAGTAATTTACGAAACGAACACGAATAAAATTATTTTTTCAACGAAAGGAAAGAAGAAAGGAAATAAATTTTCTAACAAAACAAAAATTTTCGCCCATCTCCTTTGTGAATTTTGTGGAATGACATTTATTTACCTTTTAATGCTGTCATAAAAAATAAAAGCTTTTTAACACAGATTTAATGTTAAACTACTAAAGCTGGTATTACCACGGCTGCTTCATAATCCTCAAGTTTTCTTTAGATTATAATAACCCTACAGGTTGATTCATTGTTTTATACACATTTATTTTGTTTCAATTTTATTTTATTCAAGTTATTTGTTTTTCAATCAGTTTGTGCCTTAATGTCAAATAAATTATTATTTTATAAATCTTGTTGTGTATCCGTATCCGATTTTGGCGTATCCGGTTATATATGGCGGATATAGGCGGATACCCGCACCTCACTTGCGCGTAGAGTTAGGATTTAGGATTAGGATTTCGGAGTTACGTTTTTCGTCTTGCAAAGTTAAACGTTGTCGGCTATTCTAACCACTAAAATTTGGTTGGCCAATGGATGTGGGGAGCTTCCTAAACGGATTACTCTCATTATAAATGTAAGGAAGAGAAGGATCTAGCATTTAAAACGCTCATTAGGCGGGGGTTTAAGATCTATTAAAAGAGAAGGTGAATATGATTTGATGCAAAAATAAAGCTGGTATTACCGCGGCTGCTCCATAATTCTCAAGCTTTCTCTAGATTATACAGTTGGTAGAGCACCTGTACATACGTGGTGTGCGAAAGCGCCTAGCAATAACTGCCAAAAGGTCGCATGATCGAAGCCTGCCCGGGATTAAACTTTCACCTCTTTCTTATTTAAATTACTATTAATAGCTCCAGAGATGTGTTTTATAGTTTGTTCCGACTATTATATTTTTAATTTTTTTATCCATTTGTATCATATACTTCCTCATATTATATACAGTTAAATTTTAGAAAGAATTGTTTACTTCTTATCAAAATTCGTGGCATATTTTTTCACAGTTTATGCAATTTTTTGCTTTCTAAATAAATATTTTTTCATTATTTGTATATCCTTTGTGTTTACTAACTTTAGATGTTTCTCCTTCCTTTCTCTCATGAAAAAAAAATGTTTAAACGTTGAATAATGGTGAAAGTATTAAGCAACTTTTTGGGAAAGTTAAACAATTGAAACGTTGCAAAATTTTTTGGTAAAAATTCTTGTCGACGCAAAAACTCAGCCCTGACAAAGCTTGATCCAAACAACAATCGATCGGATAACAGTCGGTCTAAAACTTTGTCTAAGGTATAACCTCGCCCATAAAGTATAACTGATTTTCTCGTTCCACGTATCCCCACTAGTCTATGTTGTGAGTCTTTATGACGTGGTTTTATAAAAAATAGAGAGCTCTACTTACTCAAAGTTAAAATTACATATGAACAAACCGGAATTCTGAGAAAATTCTGTACGAACAATTGTTAAGTTATCTTTTCCCTTTTCTTATAAAATGGGAAAAGATAACTTAAGATAACTTACTCCCTAAAATATATAGGGAGTAAAAATACAAATAAAAAAAATGAAAACGATAGAAAATAGAGTGAATGTGAGGAATGAGAAATTGATGTGGCAAATATTGCAAAAAGCATTTGCAGACCTTCGAGGAGATAATTCGATCGAAAATAATTTTTAACAATGAACCTAGTATAAATCAAATTTCTATCGTTACAAAAATCGGATTTAGCCGTTATAACTTAGTGACAACCGAATAGCTCTCTCTCAAAGGTAATGTACATACGCACAATACCGGAATCTTGAAAAAAAGAGAAATTGATTATGAATGAGCCATTGATGATGAGCAACCTATTAATAATATAATTTTTCACTTCTGACCTGTACTTGATCCAATCTAAATGAGTCTTATATCATTCGAAAGCCCCCGACAAGCGGTATCTTTTTTCTAATTGGATGAATCATGTCTGGTCACTCATTAAGAAGTTATAACCCGATAAATGAGAAAAATTCCAAATGCAACACTTTATCTGTTTATAGAACCTATTTTGATGAGTGATCAGACGATTTTTCTAGTTGGAAAAATAATACCACTTATTAAGATATTTCTAAATTGCAGAAAATATTTTAATTTTTTCTCTAATTTTTAAAAATTTTATATTTTTTAAATTTGAATTTACTGTCGAATTTAGCCACTGCTGTAATTAGTCACTGGCGAAAGTCGAGGAAAACGGTGAAAAATGAAAAAGTAGGCGCGCGGCCAGGTGGGCGCAAGGCCATAACCTGCTTCAAGATTTTCGAATCTTTCAAAGCTTTAGTATTAAACGATTCCACTCATCACGTTAAAGAGATTGGTACCAAAATTGATAAGGGCCAGAAATTTTTAGCAAGTTATGGCTTTGTGCCTACTTGGCCGCGCGTCTACTTTGGCGTGTCCCTCTAAAAAATTAATATGGGTGCCTTTCAATTAGAATAAATAAAGTATATTAACATTTAACTATTTTATTTCAACATAGGTTAACATATATTTAATAATTTAATTAATTAATCTTTTCTTAATTAACATTTTTTCTTTAATTTAATTTATATATCCCATCCTATAAATATTAGCACACCACAATTGAATCTAAAAGAAAAAATATTAAATTAACGCTGTATGAAAATTTAAAGATTTTTTGGTGTGGTTAATTTAAAGCAAAATGAATAGACTGCTCTCCCCTTCTTTTAGTTTAAATTTTCAGAAACCCCCCTTTATTGAGAATTTTTTATAATGTTTATTTGCATAGTTAAAGAAATGCTAAGATTTTGGTTAGCTAAAAATAGTAAATCTTACGTATAACTGGTGATTTAAAATTTTGTTTACCTCGTAATTCCGCCTTAACAGGGACCAGGAGCACCAGGATCAGAACAGAGAGGAGGACTACAAGAACAACAAGGAGTACCACAATCCCCAAACGGAGGATCAGCACATTTCAATGCACCACCACTACAACAACACCCAGTCGATGCAATATTAAATTTTAATATTAAAATAAAGCATATAATAGTAAATAAATAGAGGAATTTAGTTGGAGACATTTTCAATTATATTAAATTTAGTAAATTTTATTTATTGATAGAATAATTGAAAATCAACCTCATTTTATATTCAAGAAAATAGTTCAATTAATTTATTACACGTATTGTGTTTTTACAAAATTTTATTTTATTACCACCAAAAATGTTGCTACATCCCAACAAAAATTGTTTGGTGTACACCCCACCCAAAATATCAACAAACTAGGGAAGAATTTTTATGAGGGAAAAAAGTAGGCGAACAACAGTGAAAGGAACTTTTTAATCATTTTTTGATAAAATTTATTTGTGACGGTCGGGAGTTTAAAAAAGTCGAGAGTCGAGACCGAGAAGCAACCCCGAGAGTCGAGACCGAGAAGTAAATCCGAGACCGTGACTCAGACCGAACCCGAGACCGAGAAGCAACCCCGAGACTCGGATCGACTCGAGAATCTAGACTGTGAGTCGAGAGATTAAGAGGGAAAAACCCGATAAATTTTTTCCGAGAGTCGAGACCGAGACCGAGAAGCAACCCCGAGAGTCGAGATTCGGACCGAACCCGAGAGTCGAGACTGAGAGTCGAGAGATTAAGAAGAAAAAACCCCCGAGAAATTTCCCGACTCGAGAGTCTCGACCATCACTAAGATTTATCAAAATATTTTTTAAGCTTCTATTGAAGAGAGTTGGTGTTTACTTTAGATCCAAAAGCGTTTCCATCAGCACCGCAGGCAAAAATTTTGAGAATTTTGGAAGGCCAAAGGAGCTTCTATTAGCTTCAAAAATTGTTTTTTTCTGTATAATTTTAATAATTATTTTATTTATTTTTTTATTCTTTCTATCTTATTTTTCCTCTCCTAAATGTTGATCTGTTGGATGTTAACGAAAATTATTTTTTTCATTAAAAAAGATCGCTCTAATGTTAAGGAAATTTTTTTTTATTTTAGAAAATTTTGTTTATGTATAAATTAAGCTTCGTGGAAATTTTTATTTTTTTATTCAAAAAAAAATAAAATTTCCACGAAGCTTAATATACACATAAACAAAAATTTTCTAAAATAAAATAAAATTTTCTTTAAATTTTTTTGGTTAGTTTTCTAGTTGTGGATGATATCATCCACAACAAGTACAAATTTTTCCTTAATGTGTTCCTCTTCTTTTTTTAGTTAAAAAATATATTTTCAAATAATATTGGTAAAATATTTTTATTTCTCTATATTTTATTTATTTAATTTTATTTTTGAAAGAAAAAATTATTAAAAATTAAATTTTGCATTTATTAAAAGGGTACAATTAGGCGCGCGACTATAACGGCGCAAAGCCATAACTTGCTTCAAAGATTTCCGAATCTTGTCAAATTTAGTATTAAACGATTCCTCTCATCGAGCTGAAGAGATTGGTACCAAAATTGATGAGGGCCAGAAATTTTCCCGCTAGTTATGGCTCTACGCCTTTGTGGTCGCGCGCCTACTTGGGCGTGTAATTTATTAATATTATTTGGAATTTTTAATAAAAGAAATTTCTAAGAGAAAATTAAAATAAATTTCGGAAAATATTTTTAATTTTTTTGGAAATTAATCTCGATATTTTTGGTTAATTTTAAATTTAATTTTCCTTTAATTTTACATTGCCAAAAAATTTTTTTATATATTTCATATTAGTTTGGATTTTCTTTATCCTTCCGATTTCCGAAAAAAATTTTTATTTCCGAGTTCCGACTTTTGAGCCAGTTCCGATTTCCGGCTCTTCCGATTTCTGACACCTCTGAATTTTTCGACCCACCTCTGATCCTAATTAAACACTTGCCTCATAATAATAAACGCATACCTAATATTAAAATAACAGTGGACTTTTATTCATGTTTAGTACAATTAATTTATTTCCTCAAAAAAATTTTTTTGAGGAAATTTTTTTTAATAAAATTTTAAAAATTCGTAAAAATCCAGAAAAAAACTTTTTTTTATTTTTGCAAGCTAAACTACAAAATATATTTATTATTTAAATAATATCTATAATATTTACCTACAATCATACCTTGCTAAAAAATACACTCAACATCATATATTTATAAATAAACTTCAAATTACTTATGTTCTGTTTAATTTAAGCTGTTTATTGGGTGAAATTATAACAACTAGCTCTCTGGATTTATTATGATAGATCTATTACCATTATTATCTATTACTAAGCAAATTCTTTTGATGGCAGGTGGAATATTATGGAAGGGTCTCATCATGGAAAGGGCCCGATTTTAGAGAACAACCAACTGGGCCACCATCCAAACTTATGAAGAGCTTCATTCATAGTTGTTCTGAAAGTGTCACAAAACAGCATCAATCCCGACGTATCTTTTACTATTATTGTGGGGCTAGTTTCAGTCCCATTACTTTATAAACTTATATTTATTCTGACAACTTCTATTTAAAGTGGACTTTACTAATACTTCAAATGATACTTATTTCCTTCCCCCCCCCCCCCCCCCCTTAGTCCGCAATTTAGTTGAAGTACTGAATGGTCAGTCATTTTTTCCTTCCATAATTTTAAAAAAGTTGCCTGTGGTCACATTCATTCACTCACTCTTCCTTCAATAATCCTACTTTTTCATTTGTAGCCATGGTACTTTTCTGTTTTGTGACCGCACTTTAAAAATGTTTAAAAAGGGTCATAAATATGATCAAATTATATGTCATTTGAAAGAGCTCCTCGAGCTGAGTTAAATGACACCAAAATCATTTGGGATTCTAAATGGTACGGGCTCGAGATGGTCAAAAGACACAAGAATCGAAATGGTCAAAAATCATGAATATGACCAAAATGTATGTCATTTGAAAGAGCTCGGCAAGCTGAGTCGAAACACACCAAAATCACCGTTATTGAACAAGAGTCACCGTGATTGAACAAGATCCATAGGTTTACTTTGACCATTTTGAACCTGTTTATCTTTGCTCAAAATCAAGATCTCGAGCTGATTTTGGTGTCATTTGACTCAGCTCGAGGAGCTCTTTCAAATGACATATAATTTGATCATATTTATGACCCTTTTTAAACATTTTTAAAGTGCGGTCACAAAACAGAAAAGTACCGTAACCGTCTTTAAATATAAAATATTTATCACTTCAAATAGGGATAAACGAATTAGAAGAAAAGTCACAGAAATTTTTTGACATGAAATCCGAAGTCGATCCGAAGAAAACCCCAAAAATAACCCATCTCTGGTATGAATGGCAGTCAAAATTCTTTCTTCGCCGACTGGCGTTATGATCCTTTACCTTGAAATCAAAAAATTCCTAAACTTCCGCATGGGCCCATTTGGGTAATACCATCGATATGGGTCTGTCTATCCTTTTAGCAGAGTTGCTGACAGAAATTTAATTAACACAGAATTGTCTAAAATCTAGTTTATCTTTTAAAAATTAATTTAGTCTAGTGCCAACATATTTTATCAATTGCTATATCCGACTACACTTTTTTTTATTTTTTTAATAATTTTTTTATCAAAAATTTTTTTGGATGTTTTTCTTTTCAAATTATTATCATTTTCTCTGTTTAATTTATTTTGTAAAGGAAGAGAATAAACAATAAAAGAAAAAATAGTTTGCTTGAATATGCTTTAAGTAAATGTAAAAAGAAGGGAAATTGTCATTTAATTCGAGAGTGTTTTTAACTTGTCAATTTATTTTTCCTTTTAACAAAAAACTTAAATCTTTTCTATATAATTACGCATTCTTAATTAATTGTACGTACATTAAAAAGGGTGATATCAAGGTTAATACCGGGGTATCCTGTTTCCTTCAATGAATTTTAGGTGTGCGGACATATCGTGACGGACATATCGGGATTGGGGTGACAAAAATAATTTCTTGCGTGTTTACATTTGTTCTAAAACATAAAAACTCTATTCCTCAAAAGGAGAATATACAATTCAAGACCCAGTGGCTTTAGGTCCCGAAATCAGTAGGGTAACTGTTCGTACATTGAAATATCCCGATATGTCCGCGTGCATTAAAAAGTACACAAAGCTGGGTATACGAGATCCAATTGCGCTTATAAATTTAAAATTGGACAATTATAAAGCACCACAATTACTTGAAACAAATTAAAATTAAATATATATACATACCAATTATTTTATTAAACGTTGACATAAATGGATAATTATAGCGTTTATAATTGTTTCTTAAAAATTGAAAGTAATAATTTTTATTTAATCTACGTAACTTGATAAGAGAATTTTATACATTTTTTTAAAAGCTTCTTTATGCGCAAAAATTTATTTCATCAACTTCAGGTACAAAAACTTGTTATTAAACTGTACCGCACTATCTATGGTCTGTATCGGTAATACGGCACAGAAGGTACGGATAAACTTGAAAGTAGTTTAGGGCAGGATTCGAACATTCGACAACTTTGACAGTGCTCGCTCGTCCTTGCTCACACAAATGCAGGTGCTCTACTACTGGGCTATCTTGACTAATACTAATGTCTCTCTTTATCCTTAAGTTCGTTTAACCCCTGTTAATCGGATTAAATACTGCAGGTAAATCATCCTTACAATTGAAAGCGCAGAAGAAGCAAGATGAATATTATCAGACTCCCTCAAAACTCATAGCCCTTACATGCCTTCCATGGCAATTTTTTCACTATCTAGGTCTGCCTGTAGTTAACATGGAAGGTCTAAAAAAATTTTTTACTACTTATTATAAAAACAATTTCGACCCATAATTTAATTTTAAAAAATATTTTGAATAGTTGCAAATATTCCCAGACATAAATTTAAAAAATTAAAAAAAACAATTTATAATAAATATTTATTCTAAGAAATAAATTTTTTTCACACATTAAGTACAAAAATATTTGTCTAGAAATTAAATTTTAAAAAATAATATTTTCATTAAAATTCTTAGTGCTTGAAGTATTTATTTTAATAAATATTTTAATAGATATATTTTCAACTACAGGTTGCACCCAGAACATTTTGGAGCGGATGTGTAGCAGAGCTGCACGCAATTGAAAAAAAATTTCGCAACTCGCAATTGCAAAAAA